CAGGCTCCGCTCCGGCCGCGAGCAGGGGGCGGCGCCACCCCCGCGCCCTCCCCGGCCCGGCCCGGCTTCAGCACCGCGCCGGCGGAGAGGGGCCCAGCCTCGCCCTCTCCGCCCGGGCACGGGACCGGACCTGCGACGCGGGACCTTGCACTAGAGGGCAAGGAACCTGCCCGTGTCTGCCGTCACGGCTCCGCGAAAGGTGCGGACGGTACAAGACGGTCAAAAGCCCCCCTCGGTGGGAAATAAACCGCATTTTTGTAGATGGTCTTCAGCTCCCCCCGTGCAGACCCTGGTCTGCCCATGCCCTGAGCGCCACGCGGCTACAGCCGGCACCCTGCACGGGCTCTGGGCTGCGCAGTCCAAGGAGGAGCGCGCGAGAACAAGCCTTAGGAAGAGAGACCGAGAGGCACGGAAAAGCGCAGGCTCGGGGGGGACCTGGTGGCTGCCGACAAGGATATAAGGGGTGCACATCAGGATCTGCAGGAGCGCCTCAAGGGATGGCAAGGTCCAACGGGCACGAACTCCTCCGTGACCATTTCAGGCTGGACATACGGGAAAACTTCTTTACTGTCCGAGCCCCCGAGGCCTGGAACGGACTCCCTCCAGAGGTGGTGCAAGCACCTACTCCGGACTCTTGTAAGAAACGTTTGGATGTTTATCTTGCTGGGATCCTTTGACCCCAGCTGACTTCCTGCCCTGGGGCAGGGGCCTGGACTCGGTGATCTTCCAGGGTCCCTTCCAGCCCTAACGTCTATGAAATCGATGAAGCCTCCAGGGATGCAGACCCCACCACCTCTCTGGGGAGCCTGTTCCAGCGCTTCACCACCCTCCTCGGGAGAGGTTTTCCTGATATAGAAAATGAGGGTTGGCAGGGACCTCAGGAGGTCACCTCTTTGGGCAGCCTGTTCCAGTGCTTTACTACCCTCCAGCGAGAAAGTTTTTCGTAATATCATAAAAAATGAGGGCTGGAAGCAACTTAAGGAGGCACATCTAGTGCAGCTCCCTGCTCCAAGCAGGACCAGCCCCAACTACATCATCCCAGCCAAGGCTTTGTCTACCCAGGCCTTAAACACCTCCAAGGATGGAGATGCCATCACCTCTCTGAGGAACCTGTTCCAGCGCTTCACCATCCTCCTTGTGAGAAAGGTCTTCCTGGTATCTAACCTAAACTTCTCTGGCTGCAACTGCCTTCTCGGGCTGGAGGCACTTGTGTGCTCAGGACAGTGCCCTGGCCATGCAGGCCCCCCACAGCGTTTTGGGGAAGACACCTAAAAACTCCCAAGTGGCTTTTGTAGCCTAGAGCCGGCAACCTGCAGCAGGGGAACTCCTGTCGCACGAGGAGGAGGTTCAGGCAGCCCCTCTTGGAAAGTGAGGTGTAGGGAGAGGACAGTGGTGCAGAGGCATTTCACTTTTCTCCCTTGAATGTAATGCCCGTAGCTAGAGGTATACAGACGGAAGCAAATATGACGCCCCCTTTCCATGGCAGGGGATAAGGGAGGAAGAGAGACCTGTATTGTCACCAAAATGCAGCCACCTCTGGGTGATGGCAACAGCTCTGAAGAGTGCTGGTAACTACATAACAGGGCAAGGCTTCCCCTGAAGCTAGGAGAGCTGCTCAAAAGGCAGACAGGATGCAATTACTGTTAAAATACCAAATCCTGATGCGGGCTGGTCTCAACAGACACGATGAAGCCCTTTCCGGTGGCCAGGGGGACAGCAAGAAGCTAAAACAAGGGTCAGCGCCAGAGTATCAACGCAGGATGATTGATGACCCACGAGGGCAGTTGTTTTCCAAAGTACACGGAGTGGCACCAAAGGCCAGAAGTTGTGCTTTGCATTAGCAACACTGTTGAGAGGGACCATGGAGCGTCGAAAGTGCTTGTGCAGCATGTTCCGTGTTTGAAGTCCTTGATGAAACATTAACTATTTAACACTTTTTGGCACGATACACGAACAGCAAAAACTTATCTGGAGCTTCCCCCCCCGGATCTCCGGGATGTACGTTCTAACAGCACAAGGAAGATTTACGTCTTGACAACATACGAGAGCCCAGAATGCGGTTTAGCGCGGAGTCTGGTGGGTTTGCTTTGCTCTTTGGAAACACCAAAAGTCTGAGGAAAATACTGCTAAATACAGCTTTAAAAGCCATGAAAGCAAGTCAGCTGAGCACTCAGCCAGCACTGTGTGGCAGTTCACACAGAAGCAGAAGGAGGATCTCCTGTAAGATTAAGGCTGGGCAGCTGCAGCCATGTGAAGGCAGCCAGAAGCCACTAGAAACAATGCGGGCAGACATCCCCTGGGGACACTCTTCACTCATTTATTTGCTTCCCACCCCATGAGAGACCCTGAGGCCCCACTCTATTAATAAACACCCTCTCAGCCCAAGATGCTCCTTCCCTGTGCTTCAGCCTCTGCAGGGCAAAGATGGGGCTGCTTCTGGCCCCACAGAAATGCCGAGATTTAAATGCCCTCCCCTTTCTAAAGGCACAGCAGGAACCTTAGACAAAGGGCACCGTTAGAGTCCAGTAACAGGAGGGACATGTGGACCGCATCATGCCTCGCAAGTTCCAGCTGCAGGGTCCTTATTTGAATCCATGGGCGCTTATAACCAGGAAGATCGTCTGTTGAACTGTCAAATTAAAAGCTCGTCACAAAGGACACAAGATGCTGAATCAGCACCGCAACACTTATGGGCACTGCCCTGATCGCAGCCATGTTCAGAGATGGGACAAGCTTGGACCTGGTGCCTCGCACCAATTATAGAGTTGGCAGAGACCGCAGCAGTGATAAAGCGCAAGCTCCTCCACCCCGCTGGGCCCCAAGAACAGCATGTTCCCCTAGTTTTACACTGACAGCGCTGGCTCCTACTATGCCACTTGCTTGCATTGTTTACATTTTTAAGTCAATTTATCATGGCCCATCAAGTGGGGAATGGCTGCACCAAAAACACAAGCCCTTTTCACATCTCCTGCAGACGGCTCCACAAAGGAAACATTCATTAGAGACTGGACCACGAATAACCCTCCATTCAAAATAGCTGCTTGCTAAACAAGCCAAGGAAAGGGACAATGAGCCCTTTCAGAGCAATCACAACTGAGGTGGGCACAAAAGAAACGCCACCGCATCGTGGAAAGCCCTCCCCTTCCCCACAAGGGACAGAACCAGAAATTCAGGCACAGTTAACTCAAGCACTAGCCCGTTAGGAAGGTCCAAGCTGCAGGACCCACGCGGGTCTTTAATCGTTCGTCTATTATATCAGGCACGCAATTGCCTCACAGCAGTATTAGATACTGTACAGGTGTCACCTGAGGCTACAGAGGTACAATCACGTGGTGTCACATCATACTTGTTGTCCAGTAGATCAGGCCGATGAGTGCTTTTGCTTTTTAGGAACGAACCTGAGCAAACATGCCTTTTCTCCAGGCTGGCAGTCACAAGGAGTTAACAAGGGACATAGGGCAAGATGCAGTCCTGCCCTATCCCCATGTTGTGGGAGACTAGATTTTACTGCCAACAGATCAGCGCTGACCCACTACTATTAGGGTACTCAGCTGTGGCTATTTTTACCTGGGGGAAACTTCACCTTCCTCTCTCAGCAGCAGCATCCTGTGATGCTGCACAAGCAGAAGCCTCCCCTCTCTTTTAGGGAGATGCAGAGGCAGGCACCGGTGTTGAAATCAAGGGGAGGGGCAGGTTCTCAGCAGCATGCTCTTGGAAAGCCCCAGAGGTCAGAGCTGCAAGCATGGTGTTAACTGAGGAGTCGCCCACATCCCAGTGGCACTGCAGAGAGAAGAATTAATCTACACACTTTACCTGAAAGGAACATCCACCTCACGCATGACTCAACTTGGAGAAGAATTACTTTCACTCCAGCAGGCAAAGTAAGAGCTACGCAGGTCCAGAAAAGGTTTTATTAGGAATGTTTAAGGTACAGTGTTGCAAACTCTTCTGCACTGTATTTTAAACAAGCAGTTCAGGTACTAGTTAAGTCACAACATAGGCTTAAAGGCCACACATCTCCAAGCGGCTATACGATACATACAAGCTTGGCATCGGCTCGCTGGCTGCGCAAGACCATGCCACGCTGAGAGATGCGAGACCAACTTGCATGATGAACTCTTCGCACTGCCAAAGAGGCTTTGTGCATCACCCTCAAGTTCCCAAGGTACCGCAGCCTGGATCTGCAGCCTGGGTCCCCCTCCCCGAGTCCTCATGCGCTGGGGGCATACTGCATGACCAACCGGTCAAAGTCATTCTCCTTCAAATTAATCAAGAACAAAATAGTGATGCTTGGCTTTCTGCTACTGAAGGATGAATGCCCAGTGGGCCAGAGAAGAGGCTACCACACATCCGTAGAGTGCATGCAGTACTAAACTTGGAGTAGCCTAAATCATCTGTTATCAACTTTTTCTGTATGAGAGACTTCCATGCCCTTATCTTACAAGGCTTCCCTCCCATCCCATCCCCTTCCCTAGCAAGGCTCAGCCAGGACCCTCCTCCTACTCAGCCAAATGAGAAGGGCAGAGTGGGCACAACCCTTAGACTGAGAACCCTCTCCTAAGCTATAGTTTGTGACAGTCACAGGTCCAGGCAGGCATCCCTCCTTTGATTACTACTTTGTTCAAATATTTGAGGCTGTCTTCACAACCACAAGGGCTGGAATCTGGATTTTTACTTCTAAACAAAAAAAGTGAAAGTGGAAGGATGAGCTTGATCTTATCGAAACCTGGTTGTGACCTGCTCGAGTTGTTAACGCTCACAAATGGAGAACCGCTACTGTAAGCGACCTGCTGGGCTAAGTCAGACAATGCCGTGACCCATGATACCACTAGATTGGAACGTGAACTGGTTACCTTTGCCTGATACTCCTTTATAAACGGGTGGTTTTTATGTGCATCTTTTAATTGTGACAGGTAGCGATTTGTAACCTAGGAGAAAGAGAAACAAATCACTTATGCACCGAGGTGGGAGGACAGAAAGCCGAGCTGAAACAACAGGCACTTTATAATTTGCTTCCAGAGAGCTTTACAACCTCTCGTTTCCCTCCCACTAACTCCAGGGTGAGTATCACCTCCAGTTCAGATCAGAATAAGATTCTCCTACGTCCTGACCACCAGCAGCCCCAGCATGAATCAAGAGGAGCTATGGATGCTCATCACCTTTGGAAAAAAACCTCAGACCTTAAATGACACGCACAAAGTTACGCTGGGTTGAGGCAAAGCTGGAACTGGGACTCAGGAGTTGCAGGCTACTGCTCCTGCATTCCTTCACCCCAAACTTCCCTCTCAACCATATGGAAATGCTCAAGTTGAGACAAAGGTACAATACTCAGCTGATAATCTACAACAGGGTTAAAATATTCCAGTTATGGAAGGAGCCTGCAGGACTTTAAAGCCCAAGCAAGCTCAGTATCAGGAGGAGGCTCACCACATTCAGGGGAGAACTAGCCTCACCTCTGGAGGTTTGCCCAGGTGCTGTGACAGGACAACGAAGTTGATTAAAGTCTCAGGGTGGCTGCTATCCTGAAAACAGAGAGAAACCAATCATTAGGCCCACCCGACCTGCCTCCCAACCATTTTAATCAGGCACGACAGATTTCTGTGACTGGAAGCCAACCTCTCCTGAAGAAACCACAGCTCAATGCACAGGAAGGGACAAGGTGAATGAACAGAGCCACTAAAAAGCAATACATTCCTTAGTGAATGCAAGATGGGTCGGTGTGTTCTGAGGCAGGCAGATGAAGGCCAAGAAGTTGGCCATCCAAGGGTGGGGATTTCTCTGTAATGTGCAGCCTCATAGAATGAAATATATTATATACCATAAAGTAAGGCCCAGTCTACTCAAAACTGGACAATCTGTTTGAGGCTGTCCAGAGCCTCACAGGGAATTCAGAAGGAAACAGGACTTGCAAAAAAATGCTATGGAATTAAAACCATGTTGAGAAAGTTTCCTGGAGGCTGCAAACAAACAAGATGGGGCACAAGAGCAGAATCTGAGATTAACTCTTTACAAAAAGGTCTTAGAAATGTATACAGGAAGTTGAACCATGAGAAATTGCTGTCTCTCTCTGTTTTTCAACGGGAAAGATTTGAAACCACAGTTATATTGTCATCCTACCTTGTCCAATGCCTCTTGAAGCACACCCTCTGCATCCTCCCATTTGCCCTGTGCCATGTAGCATGCGGCTTGCCCATTGAGCAGAAGCAGGGTGGGTGAACTTTTGTCTGCCATCTCTTGGAAGATGTAATAAGCATCCTGTAATTTCTCACCACCCTAGAAAGATTGTGACAATTGATCTGTGTTACTGCTGTGCTAAACCAAGAAGAATGCATGCAACTGTTTCAGGTGAAGCCCCTGAACCCCTGAATGCTGCAAAAGCAATGCAGCTCCACCACTCAGCTGAATCATCTCTCTGTGATCAGCAGCAGTCTATGTACCAGACACAGGGCAGCTGGGAAGTCCAAGATATTTGAGTAATTTACTTTAATGAAAATACAGCATTTACATTCCTCCAATTTAGTCTGTACACCTTGGCTGAAGGATGTCTGACGGTATTTGAGTAATAAAGGAAAGCACAGTGCCAGCCTATAATACTCACTATTGCTAGATTCACCCAGGCAGTAGCCAGCTGAGTGAGGGTGGCATCCTCATCTTGTTCCTGCATCTTCTTTAGCTCCTTGCTGCATGAACAGAAATAGAAGTCAAAGAATGAGGAACAGACACAGTACCATTTGGTTCTTTAAGATGCACACTTAGGGCTTGAGAAAGGAGAGAGAGAAGCTTGCTGCCTTTGCATCTCAGGGATTCAGAGTGGTTTGTGACTGGTTCTGTGCAGCCATATCCTCCCCTGGCCCTGAGGCACAATGGCACTGGGCTATCTCCAGCATGCAGGAAGGACCTCAAATGTCAGCAGAAGGCAGTTCTGTTCCCCTAGCGGAAGGCAGTGACCCACTCCCTGGAAGTGCAAAACAATCTCAACCTTGTTGGCCAGAGGCTGCCACATTGCTCTCATCCCAGCCAGGCGAAGGCTCCTGTCCACTACACATATGACCACCAGCTTCAGAAGCTGTCCCATGGGCACTGAATACAGAGCAAAACTGGAACTGAACATTGCAGCCTGTGGGGCTAGGTAGATTAAATCTCCTTCTCAAGAGGTCAGAAGCCTGGCTTTCAACAAGCCTGGCAAGCACACATTCTCTAAACAAAGGGAACTGAACATACGAGCTATCAGAGACGTGTGTGGCACGCTGGAGGCAACCTTACCGGGCTAGATCCAATCTGTCGAGCTTCAGAAGTATCTGGATCATCATGGCCATGCTGCAGGGAACAAAGGCACATCAGATCTGCAGCCTCTTGAGTACTTGGCTCTTTACATATCCCCTGTACATTGCAGCATCTAGAATCCAGGCATCCTTCCAGGAACTGTCCCCCTGGAGGCCTGGGGCCAGCAATCATTATCACAGTGTTCCTCTTTCTGCATCAAGGATTACGTTCTTAAGCTGTCTCCAGTCCTACATCTATTTCTGCTCTCAGGTCTACCGGATCCCCCCAGTTACTTTCCAATGAGTGCTTTATAACACGTTCTTACCAAGTGCATATTTCAATTTGTGAAGCATAAAACCAAGATCAACCCCTTTTTATTACAATGCAACCTCATTATAACAAACTCCCTTGGAACCAGGACAGAGTTCATTAAAAAGAGGGCATGTGCGCTTTACAAGGATTAGTCAATTTGGTGAACCCTAATAACGAAGAAGTTGGATCCTGCTGTGAGGATTATTAAAAGTGGAGGCTTCTCATACGGAGTGGTACTGTACTGTTAAATAAAAAGTCTGGATTTGCAAAAACAGATTGGCAGCATAAGAGTGATGTTGTAGCCGTGACCGTCCATAAATTACACCAGAGGCAAGGATTTTTTAGATTGATATCGTTTATTGGACCAACTATGTAGTTGGGATAAAAGTTAGACGAGCTTTTGAATGCAAGACATCCTTTGTCAAATCTCCAACAGAGTCCAATAAAAGATATTGCTCTAAGAAATCCCCATCTGTCACAGAAGTAGATCAGCATTTAGTTGCAGTCAAAATTACCAGAGCTAAACAGGAAATCAGCAGACCTCCTTCCCCATTCTGAATCCTGAGGAGTGTCTTGGTGCTTAAATCTCCAATATAAAACCTCTGGTCCCATTCAACTCAGTTTCTGTGGGTCAAGTATAACTCAACACTGCTGCAGCCCACAGCATCAGGACACTAAGAGGGGTCTTGCCTATGGACACAGCCTAGATATTTAACACCCCCTCTGACAGTCTGCTACTTAGGACGCAGAAACAATGCCAGCGAGTAGGAACAAGCATCTTATCTTACTGTCTTTGCAACAGTAAAAAAGCAGGCTGTATTATTAGTTGGGCACGTGGCAGGGAAGTCTGCTCCCACTCACTGACTGCTCCATTACTACAGCACTGGAACTCATCTCAACAACTGTGAACTTCCAAGATAACAAATCTTGTGTTACTTAAATACACTGGGCAAGGGTGTGCCTCAGTCTTGGGTGAAGCCAAATCATCTGTCATTTAAAAAGTCAGCACCTCACTGAAATAGCATCTGCTCAGTGTCTCATGGGTTCCTAATAAGCTTTAACACAAGTCAACTGTTGCCCATTTCCATGGTAGCCTGTCCTCATATAATGAAGAGTGCAGCTTTGTGACCATCCCCTGGTTGTCTGAGCTGGACTTACCACTCTAAGCTTTCCCCTTGGTGCAGCGTGCGCAGAGCTGCATCAGGGTTTTTGTCATGAAAATAGATGGAAGCAGCCATGAGCAAGAAAGTCGTATTGGTCACGTCAACACTTTTTGCCATCTTCTTGTCCAAATCAGCAACGATCGCATCCCTGGGGAGAAAAGAATAAGGGTTGGGGAATATGTCACTGACTTGCCAAAACAAGCAAGAAACAATGACCTCAGCAGAAAGACTCCATAGGATTCTTTAAATTAAGCATTTTAAAATGATTTGGACTAAATAAACCAACAGTGAGGAAAGAGGAGTGTTTTTCCTGCCCCCAGCACTCAAAAATAAACCAAGGGAGTTTTACTAAACAGGACCAACAATATAGCAAAGCGGAACAGTTCTAGTTCAAATTAGTAAGCTTTCAGCAATATACCCGAAGTGCCTGAAATCAGCTACTGAAAAGTAGCGATAGACATGCAGAGAGTCTTCTTCTAATACCAATTAAATTGAGCTGTGCACCTTTAAAATCTCAGTTCAGCAAGCAGAAGTTAGAAGGACAGACAGATAACTAGTTGGATCAACCAGCAGGAACTGCCGAAACAAGAACTGCTCGAGTCTGCTGTTATGACTTGAAGTTTGAGAGTATTTTACTGTGCATTGCCACTGAAAACACAAGTGGATACCTGGCTGTGGATTGTTAACAGGGCATTAACCTTTTGTTAATATGCTAAGGAATACATTGTTCAACACACCAACAAACTTCAATACTTGTTTTTATCCTGCATAAATCAGTTTCAGGGCAACGATATTCTGATCTGCTGAATTTGGAGCATTAGAAAAAGAGCATAAACACAGGCCATGACCCTACATAATTTCAAACAAGGCTACATGCCATAAAAGGATTGCACCCAGCCATATTTCATTACAGGACCAGAACCACATACAGCAGTGACCAGGGCTATGCTCCCATTATTGAAATTAGTTCTTCCCCTAGAAACCAGATTGCTGCAACAGTGTGTGACTTACCTCTGACTCTCATTCGAAAGATATTCTGCAAACATTTTCACTGCCTGGAGTTCAGGGCAAGCATTGGCTCTGATTTCATCTAGCACGACACCATATTTT